GAATTTATCATGAATTTATTATTTTTTTGAATAAAAATAGTTTGATTTGTTCAAAACAAATCAAAATTAAAAATTAATTTTTTTGATTTAATGGTAAAATTTCAGAACTTGTACCAATGTCTGGGTGTTGGACCTGATTATTATTATTTTTGTTAATCAAGTGTTCCTGAGTTGAATTGTTCATATGTTGGGGTGTCTGCAAATTGGGGTCTTGCTGTACTTTAAAGCAAGATTGAGTACTCCTGGTTCAGTTGAAAACCTATTTTGCCATATTTCAAGAAAAATACTGTATAAGGAGGATAAATAAATGGGTTAGACATTTTTTGAAAATCTGCAAGATATTACAAAAATTTATGAACAAAATAAGAATGCATGTTGGACAATATCAGTTCCAGCTGTTCAATTGTTTCCAAATGCCAGCCAAAAATTGTTTAGATAAACAGCCTCAAAATGTCCCCTTTTATCATTCCCACAATACAGTGAAGTATTTTTATATCAGAAAAAAGGCAGCTCAGAATTATGAAGTGTTGGCCAAGTTGACATTATCCAAGATCAATATTTTTCAACAAAACCCTGAATGAAAATTTCGACTTATCATAACAAAATGCTATTTTGAATGTACAGTCAACCCCCACACAATGGACCTCCCACACAACATATTTTTCCACAACAGACTGCCTCTAGAGGAGGTTTTCCCTCCCACAAAATGGACTGAATCTGCATAACAGACTTATGTTGGTTTAAAATTGACTGTAAAAAGTAAAAATTTAAATTTTTAATACCATATATACTCAAGTACCACGTGCACCTTTTTTCCCAAATTTCAGAAGAAAAAAAGGGGGTGCGCATCATAAGCGGGTACAACATTTTCAAGAAGTTTTAGGAAGTTATGTGTGCATTATACTTAATTATAATGGAGAAATTTGGAACAAATATAACGAGAAAACATTTTTATATTGAAAAAGTTGCACATTGATCAGATTTTTGTTCAATTTATGCCTAAAGTCAAATTTTTTGTTTTCATTTTCAAAATTTTATGGTTTTAGATTCACTAAAAATTAAGGTGCACGTCTTACTTGGGGATAAACTTTTTGCAAAATTTTCAACTGAAAACCCCCTGTGCACCTTACTTGAGGGCGTGTGGTACTTGAGTGAATATGGTAATTGAATTTGTACAACAGGCTTTTCACACAACATACTAGTATGTTGTACAAATTAAGTCCATTGTGCGGGGGTTGACAGCGTGCACTCATTTCCTCTGATGAAAATCATTTGCATTCCAGAAATTATCATTTGATTCATTTTTCTGCACATGCTTCCAACATTTTTGAGTGAAACTGCTTCTAGCAACAGCAGCAGCATTTATTTCTGCGGTCATTCGTCATCAGCCAACTTGTGCGGCACCTTCTTTTTGTTTTAATCCCTGCCTTTCTCTGGTTCGGGGGGTGGTTTTATGAAGTGTTTCAAAGCTTTTGCCAAAAGGGATTTTTCGCGCTTCAGCTCGGCGCCGGGTGAGCAATAAAAATTATCCACGCGGGTTTCGCGCATTTTCCTTCCAGATCTCTCTCTCGCGATTTGCGAATACCAAAAAAAAAAAAAAAAGAATCCTGTACATATTTGACAAAAAGAAAAAGCAAGAAGTTCTTCTTTTGTACTCCAGCAGTCGTGTGTTGTTCTTATCCTAGCAGTGGAGTTAACAGCAGATGCCAGTGAAGAACGCTTATTATTTTCCTCTCCTTTTTTGTTTTTTGCAAACGGGAAGGAATAATAAAAACTGCGTTGCGCCTTTTTCGCAGTTCCGGACTCTTTGATACCCAGTCACGTGCAGGCAGTTAAAAAATATCAGTGTTTTTTCACTCCCCCTACCTTTTCCCGCTTTTTAGTTGAGGAATTTTACTGACCCAAACTGTATTGTTTGGGGGGAACGAATGGGGTTTATATATCTTTCTTTCCTTCCTTTTTCCTCACTGTGGAGGAGTTTGGAGGAGTGTACATGTAGTGACACCTGGATGCTTGAGATGTAAGCTTACTCCGGCAGAGGAGTTTTCTATTTTCTGCCTCTAGGTGACGCTGAAAGTCACATTTATCAGCTGAAACTGATTAGTTTCATAAAAAAAATTGTGCTTCTGTTCCTGATTTTTTTTTCAACAGTCTAATCAACATATTATCCAAATTAATTAACATATTGATTATGAGATGGGGAAAAGAATTATTCCATTACACAAAATGTAATAGGAGACAGTTTGGGCAAATACAGTCAACACCTGCACAACAGACCTGTTGTGTAAAACATCTGTTATTCAAATTCAATTGTTAAAAAATACAAATTTTTACTTTTTACCATTAATTTTAAACCAACCGAAGTCTGTTCTGCAAATTTAGTCCATTGCATGGGAGAGAAAACTGCTTCCAGAGGCAGTCTGTTGTGCAAAAATCAATTGCTCAGGAGGTCCATTGTGCAGGGTTCAACTGTATCACAGTCAACCCCTGTTAAACAGACTCATCTTGTGCAATTAATAAGTCTGTTAGACAAAAATTCCTTTAGAACAAATTCAATTGTATAAAAAATTGAAACTTTTAATTGAAAACACCAAAGTTAAACAAACAGAAGTCTGTTGGGCAGGAGGAAAAACTGCCTGCAGAGCTGGTCTGTTAGGCAAAAATCCCTTAGACAGGAGGTCTGTTAGGTGAGGGGCCACTGTACTAAAAGAACTTTGCACTCAAAACTGTTTTTGAAATCAGGAAGAAATAGGGAAGTGAACAGTTACATATTCACATAGCACAAGGTTTATTTTGTCCACATACAATAAAGGTTCCAATTTTAGCAGGCATGCTTGGAAAACACTTGTTGATCATATGAGTCAAGTGACATAATCCCATTATTTTATAGTTGGGTTTATACATTTCCAACCACTTATCCTTAAGTCTTATTCAAAGAACTTCAGCACAAGAATTATTTTTATTATACCACAAGAATTGTCAAGCAAGCTTATTATTGCAGGGTAAAAGAGATGCATGCATTACAAAAGTTATGGTAAAACATCACAGATTACTCAATCCAGCAGTGAAAATTTGAATGATTGTAATTTCATGTGAGGATTCTTTCACTGTAAACATTATTAGATGCATTTATCATTTTGATGAAACTTGATATTATTTGTAATGATGTGAATATTGATTTCCTTTGTGTGCACAGGAACTCCAAGTCAGCAGCAGCCAGTCAGCAGGGGTCACTCAGGCAACACTCCTTGGACATGCCCAGTGTGTGGGACAGGGCTGAATGATGGGGAAGTGGAGTCCCACTGTGCCATGGAAATAGAGCGCCTGGGGCAGGGCCAGCAGCATCATCAACAACATGTGCACCAGCACCACCAGCAGGCCCTGTTACTCAGTCCAGTGCACCACCAGCAAGATGCTGCTCCAAACAACCGCTGGGAGGTGAGCAAGACATCATGCACATCCACACCATCTCAAATTAAGACATTCTACAAGTTATGCTTGTTTGTTTCAATGTCATGACTTTTGCAGACATATCAGAGGATCAGGGCAAACAGACAAACCAGGCTGAGGCTAAAGCAGAAAAGGCGCAGGGACAGTTCTCCTGATCTTGTGGCTCCCCCTGGGGGATTCCACCTGCCATCCGGTAGATTCCTCCTGGATGGTCTGGATTTCACCAACAAGTCCTTCAAGGTGTGCATTTTTCCACTGAAAATCTCCATATTTGTGCAACTAAAACTATAAAACTCAATCAACAGATGGGAGTGTCAGAAAGCCTGGAAGAAGATGATGAGGAAGACAACTCCAGAAGCAAGGACACCTGGGGATCTGTTGACATGAAAGGTGGGCACCTCAAACCTCTGCAGGCTGAATTTGAAAGATTACAAAAGCTGTGGTCTAAAATAGGTCATAGGAAGGATGAGGAGGAAGAAGAAGACATGGATTTGGTGGTTGATGGGGATGACACTACAGTATATGGTCCTGTGCAGTACACAGAGTCAGATGTGTCCAGCATCAAAGAAAGCACCATCAAACAAGAGTGAGTTCAGACACAATAGAAATACTGCTATCAGTAACCAAAATGAAATGATCATTTGTTGTAAACCCTAATCAATCATCAGGTCTGAGAATGATGAGAACTCTAGCAGCAGACCATGGAAAGAATCCCACCAGGATGGAAGCATGGAATTCAACTCTCAAAAGTGCCACATATGTGGAGTGAGTATTTCCATCCAAAAATTGGAGTCATTTGATGAAATACTGTATCTGTTTTCCCCCCAGACTTCATATGAGAAGCCATTAGTGTCCATCAGCTGTTGGCATGTGCACTGTGAGAAATGCTGGCTGAGTGCTTTGGTGAGTTTCATAAACTAAAACTATTTAATGCATAGCATGACTTATGGAATTTATGAACATGAAACATTTTTCACTTGCAGGGGGAGCAGAAACTGTGCCCACAATGCAAGGTGATTACAAGTCCATCTGAACTCAGGAGGATTTTTCTATGATGGAGAAAAGGAGTCTTTTCTGAAGAGCAGCATAGGTGTCACTTCCAGTGTTCCCCTTCCTCCAAAATGGACATGTGCATAGCAGGGCTGATTTGTAGGCCATATCTTACAACTCATGCGTGAGACTGAAATCTAGGCAATGCACAGTTGTTGGAAAGATATTTTGTTGACCCTAGCATTTTCTTTTTGGAGCAGTGTAAGCAATATCTTCACCCAGGTCACTGCCAGTGTTGTTTTCTTCCCTCCCCTCAGTAAAGTTTTTGTTTTCTTTTCCTGTGAGGAACCTGTTACCCATCTGACAACCAGTGAATAAAAAGTTAGATACAGAAATGTGCTATGAACTCGTTTTAATACCTTGCAATGATCGAATGCCCTCTTCTGAGGTGGTTTTGAATGACTTACAAAATACAATACAGAAGAATTCATGAAATGGAACATTATGTACCACATGAACCTAAACTCATTTTTACATCATCATAGAAGTTTTGAACACTCTCATGGCAAGTCCATGATGGTGAGAGGTAAAGCCCAGTCTTCAGCAAATTTCCTTACTTCCACCAATTCCTCTCTGGGCACCAAAACAAAAGCTTTTAATTTCGCCCTTGAGACAACAGCATCAAAATTTAAATTAGTCCACCTGTTGCCCATGTCATCATTCCCTGGAGGCACCAAGAACATGCTGGCCATGGGAGCTATTACAATATCACACTCAAATCCCCCAACACTACTGTGGTCCACAAAAGCAATGAAGTTACTTGCAGAGACTCTGATGGAATTCCAGCCCAAGAACAATGACCTGATGTTTGGAGAATCCTGCTGAAAAGCAATTTCTGTAATGTCAAGCAAAATGGCAATTTGCTTCTGGAAACAGTCAGGGGAGTATTTCAGGTCCTTCTTCAGTTCTGTGAGCCATACATGTAGGAATTGCAGACAAGCTTTTGGCTGTGAGCTAGTGCAAATAGTTTGCAGCATCCTGGCAATTGTTGTCTGGAAGGCTTTGAATTCTGAGTGAGGCTTTTTTGCACTACACCATGGACAGGGAATCAATGCTGCATTGACAACAACAGGTGCTCTGGATATTTCTACTTTAACCCGCTTTGGAGCAGGGGGTTTTTTCTGCTGCTGTTTCTTCTTCCCTGGCTGAGATTTGCACTGGAGTTTCCCACTAATGGCAGCTTCAGAAGTTCCTTCAAAGCCAAGACTATCCTCAACCTCTCTGGTCAACATACGGAATCCAGATGACCTCAAAGCAGCCTGCACTTTATGTCTGCTGAAACCTGGTCCTTTGGAGCCTGTTTTGACATCAACAAGAAGGAGCCTTTCAGAGTCAATGCCTTCATCCATACACTTCTTAATTATTTTTACAACTACATGATCAGTGTCCATAGGATGGCCAGGCTCAACTTCAGGGATCTGTAAGGGAAGGTAATGCAGAAGATGCTTCTTGTCTGCCTCAGCAAGGTTGACATCCATTGGATCTATCAGGAGAATGTATGGGCACTCTTGTGCTATAGTTTGCCATTCACTAAAAATTGATTTCATGCCTGAATAATCAACAGGATTTACATTGGATGGAAGATTTGATGACCTCTCTTGTGTCAACTTCCTCCAGGTCAACTGTCTTGAAGCATCATCAGTGAAGATCAGCAGCATTATACAAGCTCTCTTGATGCAGGACACCTTTAAAGAGCTTTCTTGTTTTTCTAGCCAGGTCTGGAAGTCTTGCAGTTGTTCAGAAAGCTTATCAACATCCAACAAGGAAAAAATGTTGTCAATTCTTTCCTGAACTTCAGATTCAAAGGAAGTCAACTCCTGGTGATTTTTGTTCCCAGAGGCACATTCATCACATTGCTGGAATGGATATCTGAGGATCAGGGGCACCTTGGATGGATGTCTCACATACTGTCTCCTACCACAGTCAGGTGGAATGATTTGTTCAATACCAAACCTAAAAAACATCCTGCTGTAGAGATTGCTAAGAGTTGCTGCAGTCACTTTATGCCCTGTATTGTTAACTACCAAGATGTCCAAGAAGTCCACCTTCTCATTTACCAATGTCACCACACAATCCACGAAGTCCATGTCAATGACATCTGTCTGAAAAGAAATACAATTGAGTAATAAAAGGAGCTTTTGGACATTGAGTATCATAAATGCTCACAGAGGGTGAATTGGAATGCACTTCTCTGCTGTCTTGTAGATAGTCCACAATGTACACCTGGTGGTGATCCAGACCATCCCCTTGACAAGCTGCTGGCAAATGTGGGATGGACTTGGAGGCCAGCCACCAGCCAGAACTGCCTGACTGTAGCAAGCAATTGCCAATATTTGGTGCATTCCTCAACCTAGTGCCCAGAAATTGCACTTTGCACTGTTCCTCCCATGGAAGGTCATCTTTAAACAAAACAGACATGCAGGTCTCATGATTGAACATGATCCAGACACCATCCTTGACCAATGCCAATTGCACAACAGCATTGAGCATATCCTGGCTCTCAAAAACATCAGATGAAGAGTCTTCAAACTGATCAATGAAGACCCAGGCTATGTTTGGGTCCTTTTGTATCTCTTGCAGCACTTCCAGCTGCCCATGCTCTTTATGAGGACAACTCATGATCACGTAACAGTCCTCTGGAATTTCTCTGGCATTTGCATGTGCATAAAATGCAGCCTGTAGAGCAGTGCATGCTTCATGCACCAGATAAACTGCCTGCTTTTCTGGTGTCACTTGTCCACTCTCTTTCAACAAGCCAAGCTTCAACCAGGCCAGGAAGGATTTCCCAGTGCCACTTCCACCAAGGATCAGCCAGGGCTTCTTGCCACCATCAGAGTCCTTCAACACAGCTTCCTGGTCCCTCTGCACAAAGGCATATGTGTACTGATCCAGGGAATCCAAGGACTTTTCCAACAGATATCCTTTGCAGAAGACCATAACAAGCACAAAGAGGTCAGGAAAGTTTTCATGCACCTCAGATTTCTCCACCAAGTGGTGCCTAAGAAACTCAGTCATTCTACTGCCTTCAGAGAGGTCATGTGAAAAAAGTGGATGAACTGTGATTTGGCTAAAAGCCAGTGAAATGGGATTCTCTCCATACTCCTTTATTTTCCTGGTTTTCTCCTCAGAGATTGAGTCCATAAAGCCTTGGAGGGCTTCTTCAGCTCCACAGACAGGGTTGCATGTCTCATTGGGAAAACAGGGCAAGGCAATGGTCTTGGTCACCCAGGACAAGGAAGAATTCTTCAGCTTCTTCTCCATGGATGTGGTCTGTGTGAGGAGTTGGAAAGCTGCGCCTTTCACCACCTTCCCACCTCTTCTGTTCTCATATGCCAAAACATCCCCTCTTTCTTTGCAGGTCTTCACCTCACAAAACATGGCTGCACTCTTGGAGGACTCTTTATGGAAGCTCAAAAGGCAGGCATCCATCTCAGTCTCTGTCTCACCTTCCAGGATACTCAGGCCTGAGAAAAGTGCAAAACTCCAGTCTGGCAGTTGCTGATGGAGTGCTTCCAGACTTCCTTGCAGGACACTGTACACCAATTGCTCACCATCACTACCAGCCTGTTGCTGCTCATGTGCAAAAGTCTTTGGCTTTTTTCCTGGTACCAAAAGGAGCTGAGGATCACACTTGGTCACACTGGGGATCTCAACCCTCAACATCCTCAGGATCTGGGCCTCTGCACACAACCCCATCTCACTCACTGGTCTATGAATCCTGAGCCCTGGAAATGCAAGATGACCCTTTTTTGACATGAGCATCTTGTCCAAGAGAGAGTCTTCTGGGGTTTCAAAGTCCGGGTACTTTTCTGTCAGAAGAGCCCAGCACTCCTTGTGCTGATGGTTCATCACTAGATCAGCGGGAGTCTCTCCAAAATGGTTCTTCACATATGGATCAGCACCGCGGTCCAACAGTAACTGGACACACAAGGTATTTCCTTCTGCAGCTGCGTAATGCAACGCTGTGTTACCATGCGAGTCGGATAATGTAATGGAAGCCACACCACCCGAGGAGTCCAACAGGGCTTCTACACCCTTGATATGCACAGTGAACACTAGCCAAATGAGTCCTGTGCGACCCACAGCATCACATTCGGAAAACTCTTCGGAAGACTTGAGATTTATGAAAGTAGGCCAATCTATGACATGTCTGAGACTGTGTGACGAAGCCGCCGACAGAATGGACACCGATTTCGGATGCTCCGCAAGATGCACGCTCAGCGAGTCTCGGAATGCAACGGAAAAGGCCACATCTTCGGTTTCGGAATCACATTCGCTCCACAAGGTACTCTGGCCCTTCTCCATGCGAGACACTGTGTTGAGCAGGGTCTGGCCCGTGATAGGATCTGGGATCAGGTACTTTAAAAACCACGAATCAGCGAGTTCCTTCGTCGCCATTTCGAATGATCATGCAGAGTCGTGACGTCACGTGCTATACAGTACAGTGATGTGAGTGATGTTACGCCGTCCGACCTCGGCGGAGGCGAAGGAGTGACTGAACTCTTTCTTCAGACAGAGACAAGCCGCTTCTTCGGGAAGCTCACGTCTGCTCGAGCTGACGTCACGAGAGCGACTGACGCTGGGAGTGAATCCAGTACTGAGCACAGAGAGAGAGGGAGTGACAACGATGTTCGTTACGAGAGACGCAATCGGGGAAACACGTCTCACGACTTTCCTGCTCTTGGAATGTTGATATGAACGATGTACAGCACAGTACTTTGAGTACTACTGCACCTGTAATGTTGCATGATTACTGTAAACATCCTCATTGTATTCAATCGCGTTCATCCGAGTCATCGCGACTGGAGTTGCGATTGCGAAGTCTCTCCCGCAATCGCGACTTCGGGAGTGACATGATTCGGCGGCGGATGGACGACAGGTTGCCAACGCTGCAAGGTCGACGATGCTGTTACGTCTAAGGCGAGATTTGCCGCCAGACCCGTTAATGTTCTGGTAACTCCAGGTGCGCGAGCAACGGTTTATGTGCAGTATCCGCGGTAGTGCGTCAGGCGCGCATCACAACGCGTTATCTAGTATGCAACTGTACCCCGGATAACGGACACATCACATAATAGGTTGTGAAGTGTTTTAATATTGTATTACGACTATAATATAGTTATTCTATAGGTGATAGACTTGGCTTTGAAAGAGCTACAAAAGAAGTGGTTTTATCTTTTTCATATTGAATTTTAGGAAAATTTAGTGAGGCGTGTAGCATTATTTTTATTGCTTTGAAGGATTTCATCTGTTAATTGTATCACATGAGTACTATTCAAAGCATATCCTGTGCACAATTTTTCAATTCATTCAAGAATTTATGACGGAAAATTTCCTTGGAGATTCAGACTTTTTGGGTGATGAGCTGGAAGGACAAAGTCCATTAACTGAGGTACCCTTGCGTATTTAAAGTCTCAGTATTCCTCAGTTCAAACATGAATGTGAGTGGTTCAATCTTATCTTCATAACAAGCACTTCTGAAAAGCTTCATAGCAGCCAGCAAGATGATTTTCTTTAAAATTCAGGTGCTGCTAATTATAATGGCTGTCAGTGACTTAACACATTGCATAGCAACTATGAGAATGAGAGAATATTCATATTAGCAGTATGGGGATGTTGAGAGACTGGACTGATTCCATTTGACTCAACATGTACAGTACTGCATCTTTGTGAAATGGAAGACTGGAAATTTACTATCTGAAATGAACACATCCCAACAATCCAAGTGTTGTAAAAAAATCTGGCAACATACATCTCGATTTTCTGGGGCTCATATGCCAAACAGCATGTGCCAAGTACTGGAGTATCATGAGAAGTCTGCATATGCACATATATATATTTTCTAAATTTTAGAATGTATTTTCTTCAAGAGATAAATCATAAGGAAGTTCATGAAATCTGTAATGCTGTTCTCCTTGATGGATGATGAGAGACCTGTTGGTTTGATTCAGTCACATGTGCCATCCACCAACACCCTCCCTTGGAGGGCAAAAGCAAACCTCAAGTTGCTAATGGCCATCACCAGGTCCACAGACCTTGGATGCATCATTGGGTACATCAGATTAATGTACTCAGCTGCCAAGACTGCAGCTTTAGGCCCCTTTTCAAGTCCAGTCCTCAGGAAAACCCTGGCTTTCTGTGTAGTGAGCATGAATGTACATTTGGTCTTGAAGTTTGCAGTGTATGTGTGTAAAAGGGCAAAATAAATCATACCTGGATTATTTTTTGATAGTCCTGCAGTTGCTGGAAGGTCTGCATGGCCACAGACCCACACTGAGAACATTTGGAGGAGGACAGTGTCTTGGAACACTTGGGACACTTGAAAATGGTCTGTGCAACATTAGCAACAGTTGGCCAATCCTCTTTGCAGGCAATACACTGACACTCAAATGCATACAATGAACTTCACATGCATAACATATACAAAATCAATTAGCATATTTGTTTACACCTTCATCAAAACATTTTTTTTATATACTGTACCTCAAACGTTGTTGTCTGTAAACAAGGTTATCCTGAGCATAGTTGAAACCATAATTGATGGTGACTTCTTGGCCAGCTTGGAAGGGTACCAGAGTGTGCACCACCAAGTGGTCCCCAATGTAGTCAATGCAGCAGCCATAAGCACAGGAGTGGTTGAACATTGACAGTGTGCCACACACTGCTCTACCAAAGGCTTCCATTGGACCATCCACAGCTCCTACACGTGCTGACCATAAAACCTGTGCCAACTCAAAATATGTAACATGGTTTATGTACCTGTCTTGTACTGTGTCTCAACAAGGCCAACTCTGTTGCACTTCAAGTTGAGCATGTGGTTGTACAACAGAGACACCAAAAAGATGAAGTCATCCATTGGCACTTCATCCTCACCTGTGAATATCAGAATATGTGTAAAGATGAAACTTTGATATTGCTGTCCATCTGCATGACTGATGGTACCTTTTTGAAAGAACCCAGATTGCCTCAGTAAAGTTGCCAAATAGACAGCAACCAGACAAGCCTGGAAGGACAGCCTGGGGTCCCAACTGCTCTCATTGTTGGCCAAGTTGTATACATCATGGTACCTTATTCCAAGATCCTTTACTGGTGCTTGTTGATGACCTGAAGTCCCAATGGAGTCCCTCAGGGATTTTAATACAGACCAGCCAGTCTGCAGGATGATCTCATGAGCCAAGTGCCCAGCAGGTGTGATGTCATCCTCATTAAGCAAGTTCCCCATGTATTGGCACTCAATTGAGTGTGTTTTAGCTGCTTTTTGGCAGGCCATGGAGCAGAACCTTACCTGTGACAGTGCACAAATATATGTTTACACTCATGAGTATGCACATTTGGAAGAATGTAAACTTGAAGTTTACAAAGACTCATGCCTTGGCACACTTAGAGCAAAACAGTTGATACATCATCAAGTGTCTTTTGCAGGTGTAGCAGTGGTCTGTGATCTTCTGGAGCATAAGGACTGAGGCATATGGTTTCTCCACAACCAAGACCACACCTGTGTGTAAAGGAAAACAGAGTAACCACAAGATGGGCTATCAATTATACCCAGTAAATAATGTGGGGGTTGGGACACCAGCTGTTGGGAGATTTGTTGCCATTATAGTCACATCATGGATTGGGATCCCTGGTTTAAGCATGCTTGTCAACCCACTTATTGCACTACCCACCTCTACAGTGGATAACATATCACTGCATGGGAGTTGCTTGCCAGTTGCCTCAACTAGCTGTCAACTCCCAGAACTTTGTCAGAAAACCTCCCAATCCAACTCTCGACAAACAAAAAACAACCAAAGCATATTATACATTATAAGCATTAATTTGTGTGAACTTTAAGTTTCTTCATTTAAATTGTGATGTGTAGAAAGATGTGATTCACCAGCAGGTATGTCTTTTGTAGCAATCATACATCTTCCCTTTTCCTGGTCATATCTCAGCTCCAAAGCAGCACTGCATCCTTTCAAGTGTTGATGGAGACCTCCAAACACCTCTTTATTAACAGGGTTGCCATCCTCTGGATCAACACTTTTCCCTTCAAGGCACACTTTCAACTTTTCAATCCTGCTCCTCAAATCAGGCTCAGACTCTGTCACCAGATGGAGCCTCAAGGAAACAAGTTTGACATCTTCTCTGGCTTCCTTCAACATGCCACAACTACACTGGGACAAACTATTGATACTATCTCAAAAATACAAAGGCTGGCAACTATTCCAGCACTTGCTTGTTGAATAATTCAGCCCTGGTCAATAAAGTCTTGCAGAATAAATTGTTTTCACTATGAGGTACCAGTGCCAGAACTTCATTCAAGTCCATGATCCACTCATCAAGGTTGCCAGCAGAAAAGTCCAATGCAGCCAGCTTCTTCTCAGCTTCCTCCAAAGACTTGGGAATGTTCCAAGAGATGACCTGAGAGGACTTAAATACAGGATGTTTAGCAACCAACTCAGCTTTGGCCCCATGACTTGGACATGCTTGGAAAGAGGCAATGAAACCTTCCAAATCTTCTCCATGGTCCTTCACAAGAACATCAACAAGGTCCTTGAAGCTTTTCAACATGGTGTGTAAATCAGAATTTTAACTTTTATTAGCAGGTGGCAGCAGGAAAAAAAACAGAATAACCCATCAAAACACAAAAAGAGAATGTTCACAGAATAATCCTCAAGCTGAGCAAGGAAGCCATTAAAAGCCAGCCAGGGGCCATGACACCAACCACACCCTGGTTGCAAGCATCATCAGTGCAATAGCACTTCAAAGTGCTGCCCTCATATACACAGCCAGCATTTGGAGGTGTATCCAGGGGCTCACAGAACCTATTAATTTGCCCATCCCTGGTGTAGTCAATCTCCTTCACACAGTACACATGCCCAGCACCACTCATGCCCTTGGACAGGACAAAGCCAGAGAAACAGTGCCTGAGCTTCATGTTCCTGTCATCACAGTTCCAACAGTGGTAACACATCCTCTCTGACAATAAAAGGTCTCTGAAACAAAGGGTGGAAACCATGTATGGCAGCAGACATACATGGACAGGAAATAATCCAAGCCATAACCAACCTGTTGCAGCCATTGGTGGAACAAGTGCAATAGAGTTGAGTGGGGTACCTCTTGGACACTCTGCAAAAGTCAGCCTGGTTCTGGCCCCTCAGCTGCAAGCTTCTCAGGGCATCCTTGGACATGCAACCCTTGGCCACAGTGTGTCTGGCCAGGTCCACAGCAGACACACACAGGGACTCACCATCCCCACAGGCACAAGACTGGGACAGGCCCCATCTGGTCTCATCACACTCACTCCAGGTGGTCCTGTTCCTCAGGTTGGAGCTCTTGTGGCAAATGAGTCTGGACTCATCAGAAGTGGGGCTGCCCTTGGGGCTCAGTGGCACTGGCACAGGGATCTCCAGGCTCAGTTTGTCACCAAGCACAATCTGGATTGCCAACACCACCACCATTAAGCAAAATAGGGGCCTCTCCATTTCTGCAGCTCATTCAAAAATTTCCCAGGAGTAATACAGATGATGGCTTAACATCAGGATGAGGCAATATGGACACCAGACTGTCCTTGCTCTGAGTGATGAAGGTTCTATGTATAGTGCTTATGACCAGAGCTTTCATGATGATCAACAACAACAAGGAATCACAAATAAATAGGAGAATTCATTTCAAAGAGATGGTCTCTACACTTTCACCAGACAAAGAATATAAAGGAAACACAACAATGTGAAAGTCATCAGTCTGCAGGTTTCCCCTCAGGCTTCTTCTTCCTCTTATTGTTGTTGCTCATGTTCACTTGGATGTTGATGGAGTCCCTGGAAATGCAGCTAAAGTATACCATGTCCTTGAGGTCCAGTCTGAACTTGCTGAGTTTCTTGGGCCCAGCAAAGGCCTCCTTCTTAACACTGTCCACCCAGATGCCACTGGGCAGCAGAATGTCCCTGTTCCTCTGCTGGCCCAGCACTGGGGCCACAAAGTCAGATGGCCCTAAAGCCAACTGATCCCCTACCCAGTGGAAAACTGGGTCATCAGACACTGTCCACATGGGGGCAGGCAACTGGGTCTTGAGTCTGGTGCCAGACATGTTCCTGTAGGCCTCTAGGGCCATGTTCCATTCCCCTGGCACCCAGGGCCAGAATGAACTCCTGGGCAAGATGGACACTAATTGGACCCATCTTTGCATGAGGTTGGCATTGTAGTCCCTCCTGTCCACCACCTCTACAATTACCATAAGGCACCTCACTTGGAGTGTGACTGCATTTAGGACACTGTGGGCCAGTTGCTTGAGTTGTGCTGGCCTGGAAAAGTTGAGGGTCTCTCTGTGCAGCACACACTGGCCTTCCAGGTTCTCTGGGGCAGGTGTCACTGCAAGCAACTTCACCCCTGCCTTCTTGAACACATCCACAAAGTAGTCTATCCTCATGTCAGGGTTGGGTAAGTTGATTGCAAAGTCTCCTGAGGGTGGCAACATGTTAGCCCTGCATAAAAAAAAGCAGCAATGTAATATAGAAGCCAACAATTCAACTGTTATATAGAGAATTTCATATTGAAGGGTTCTTCCAAAAGTTCTGTCAGTGGCAGCAAATGAACTTCTTTGGGTGTCCTGAGAGTCAGAGATTTTAAAACTGGGCCAAATATTTTTAAACATGTCTCACACTTTCACTATCAGATCTTTTCCAGATTTATTTAGATACAACTTTGTAAAGTTGGTCTCAAATAACCACATGATTGAATAGAAACATTCATCTTTCTCTCCCAAAAAATGAGTCTCAGGTAAGGAAGCATTTGAAACCAGCTCATGTACTCATAATACATACTTGCCAGCATCCAGGACAAAATGAGTGATATTGTACTCCTTGGCAATGTTCTCCAGCTTTTGAAGCAACCATCTATATAAAACAGATGAGAGGGTAGAATTGTCAGACCACATATATTCAGACATAACTGGATTAACCTCTGAGTAAAGTTGGTGGTTGGGTCCAAAACAGCAGCACTTTGCATGTCCCTAAACTGAGTCAAAGCTGGCAAAGGAGTAGACTGGTCTTGCACCAAGAGCCTGTTGGTGAGTCCCTTCCTGAAGGCCTTGGAATTGACACTGATGAAAGGGGTGATCTCCAGACCAATAGTGAAGCCTCTTGTCCTGAGAGTCTCCATCAACTCAGTGACATTGGGGAACAGGTCCTTGTCAAATATAAAGTCCCCAATTTTACTTTGCCACCTGTGATCCAGGATAATCCAGGCATGGTTGGCCCCAGTTTGGCTGAGCTTCATGGTCATGTTCAAAAGGTGGGTTTGGTTGAACACCATCTTCTCTGGGTCCTTGGGACTACTGGGAGAGGGTCTGTAGATGAACCCATTCTTCTGCTTCAGTGGTCTGGTGACCAGGGGCACAGGGGTTGTGGTGGTGGGCAAGGACTGATTGGGTTTCTTGTTGGCCTTGGGTTTCCCCTTGTTGACCATCCCTGCTGATGATGGCAACTTATTATTGCTGGGTCTGGATGGCTGCATGAACTCATGCACTTGAGCCAGACTGTTGGCCACACAAGTGGTGTAACTCAGCATGGGTCTGCCCTGTAGTTGCCACAGGGTCTGGTTCACATTGTAGTACTTGGTGTCCACTTGGCTCCTGAGGCAAAAGAAGCCCTGGTACTCATTCCTCTTGACTGAGACAAACAGTGGCACAGACTGGGGCACAGTGATGAGGACACCATTGGAGTTGAGCCAGAACCTCCTGACCACAGTCTCTCCAAACACTCCAGACACAAAGGGCTTGAAGCTGATGTTGGCAGAGTTCATGGGATAAGGCACTCCATCTCCTGCACCATACCAGGCTGCACCTGAGTCCTCAAAACAGTCTGTCATGGGCCCTGGTCTGGCCCTCAGGTCTTGCCAGGCTGTACCATAACAGTGGATCCTGAAAAAAAAAACATCACACACACATGATACACAATTTAAGACTCTCCCAGTTGAGTAAACCCTTGAACAAGCTGAAAAAATGTTTTGTTCAAATGAGTTTAAAATGATCATGATCCTTGAATGACAGCATGCTTATTATGATGGGACTTTCAAAGGCACAAACAACGAGGACATTCCTTTAGGACAATATTTCAATGATTTTTAATACTGCATATTTTTGTGAATTCACATAAATAAGAGTTGGGTTCAATGCTACTCAAATATGGATCAGTGTGAATACAAAATATCTTATTTGAAGGAACTTGATACTTCAATATATAAAGTAAAATTACTCTCAATTTGCAAAGTTGAATGAACCACTATTGTGGCCCATGATGTAAACAGAAGTTGTCCTAGTTCTGCAAGCCTCATTAAAAATGCCTCTGAGGCTTTGAATAACAAGAAAAATTGAAACACAAGTATATGCACACCCAGGGGCTGGTTGGGATGAAGTCATGTGCAGTCTGGCTTTGTGCTTCCACTCCAAACACACAGAGTCACCAGGAAGTTCTCCTTCAGGCAAACAAGGCAAGGGGTCCATCTTGACATGCTTCAAAGACTTCCCTATGGACCCCCTAAGCACCACTGTGTCCTCTTGGTTCCAAAACTCAATCCTCATGTGCTCCTCATAGAAATGCATTTGTCCTCCAATGACATGCTGTCAATAATACCCAATACAGGTATGCCACATTTATTGGTTATTTAATTATTTTATTTAAACCAAAAAAGAGGGTGCTCAAAATTTGTTTGACAGGACTTCACCTGCCTGAGGCGGTTCCACAAGTACACATGAGTGGTGACCAGACAAGACAGGATGCAAATGAAGAGCACCAATACAAAAATCTTCTCCCAAAACAGGTCCCAGGCTTCTTGGTCTTGCTTCTTCTTGGCCAAAAATGATGGCAGCTTAAACTGCATCAATATACAATCATGAACCCTTTTAGTTCAGAATTTATTTTGTCATACAAAAAAAGCTTTATTCTCACAAATTTGAAGATGATGACAGGTGGTGGGGGAGTGGCTGGTGCCACTGGCAGGTGACACACCTCATCAGCCTTGATCAGGGCAGCCTTCTTAGGCAGGGGTTTAGGGGTTGAGGCTGGGCTGGGGAATGGGTCCTGTGGCACTTTCCACTCCCCATCCCTCATGACCATTTCAGGTGGCAGCTGAGTGGACAGTCTTCTCTCAGGCTCCATCAAAGGTGTGCTTTTGCCAAACAAACAAAAATGAAATACAGTTACATCCTGTAACAACAAACATGTGGGGACTTCAGAAAAAAATCTATTACAATGAATAATTTGTTATAAAGAGTTTTTCAAAACTTATTGACTGGGAAAAATATTTTTAATTAAACCTAGATATTCAAAATCTTCCTTTTCTGGCCTTTTCAGATGGTTTTCCATGCTTGAAAAACTGTGATCCTCAAAAATAAATTCAAATGTCAATGACAAACATAAACTCCAAATAACAGGTAAACACAAACACATTTTCTGAACTTCAAGTTTTTCTAAGCAATTCCTGTACATATTTAAAAGGTTGGATGCTTAAAAAAAACCTTACAGTTGTTAAGCATCAGTGAGGTTTCCCAAGCATCCAAAACCTCTTTCAACATGAGTTTTGTTGAGTTAATTTTTTTCATTGAACCCCCTAAAATCTTTCTTAACCCAGGATGAATTTTTGAAATAGAGGACATTTTTGTCCTTGATTCCACCTTCCATGTATGTCTCAAGAAACAGTCTTACTCACATTTTGAATGGGAAATTGGAGACCATGCCTCCCTTTATCAGGGATCTTAATTAGGAACATTACATGCTTCTCAGAAAAAAAGTTTGTTATACTGAAATTGAAGAGTTTGTTGTAACAAGATCTTTATAATATGTTCCCAATGGGAGACTTGCCAGCAGGACTTGGGAAACAAGTTGCTATGCTGAACAATTTGTTTCAATGATATTTGTTGTAATGAGATTTTACTGTAGTCAGAGAGCACAGCTCTTATTCACACACACACACACACACACATACCTCAGAGAGATGACATTGTACAACTCCTCCTCACTGCTCTGGGTAGCATAAAAGTCCCTCCTCTTCTTGGTCCCTTTGCCCTCAGGGTCCTTGCTGATTTTCATCTCCATTGACAATTGCTGCAGGAATTTGGGCACACCAGAGCACTTCCTCCTCTCCTTGCCAGCAGCAATACTCAATGAAGAGCCTGTTCTGGAAGAACTTGGCTTATTGCTGATGGATGCCAGAACCGGTTGGTCCACTTTGCTGCTCTTGTTGCCCAGGGCTTGTGTTGATGATGATGATGATGGGGCCAGTTCAATTATGCATGAGTCCTGGAAGACATCAGCAACATTTCACCATTCCACAGCAGCAGAAAAGAGCAGGATATAGAATGCATAAATGCAGTGTGGAGCTGATTTATTATTCATATATTTATGCTCATCTTCCATATACTGAGGCACACACCATCATTGGGTTGACAGGATTCAGTACCTCTTTCAAATTGGAAGGACTTATTGAGCTTCTGTAATACATATAAATTATAAATGACTTTATTTTGCCTTGAGGAAGCATTTATAAAAAAAATGAGTTGCCAGACCTGCTGTAGTTGGGATGAGTCACCAGTAGCAGCAGCTGAGACATGGGTTGCCAGAGACTCATCAGAGGAAGGTGTGAGGGAAATGATGGGCACTTCCACAGGGTAGTTTGGAGTGGTGGGCTCAGAACTGGGGGAAGATGGCTTACTGCTCCTGGCCAACATGATGGCCTCCAGCATCATGGCGGATGGTCTGCGGCCTGCATCTTCACCAGCAGCGACACCTGGTGGCCTTGACTTGAGCAGGAAGGGTGTCAGTGCTGAGACTCTCCTGTTGGTGATGCCACTGGCTTCCTGATCAGCAGTGCTGCATGTTACAGTAAAATCTTGTTACAACAAATGCCGTTACAACAAATTTTTCAGTACAACAAACTTTTTATAAAGTTACAACAGAGAGCCTCAATCTTGTTTTAACAAACTTCCAAATTCCAAATCTAAAAAACTTCCTTAAGGGTTTTTCATCAACTTTTTTTTTGTTTGATAAAAAATTTTGTCAGATTGCTCAGTTTTTCCAAACAATAATGACAAATCTGAGGATGCTAGAAAAACAAGATTCAATTGATTATCAGCAAGTCTGATGTGAAAATTCTTTCATTATTATATAAAAAAAATCTTTTTATAACCAATTCCTAAGCACAAAAAACTTTTTCTGAAGTTCACAAAATTATTCCAACAATATCTTACCACATAGGCAAACAAGTGGTGCTGTATATTATAAGTTTTCAACGTTGACCCCATTTCAATACATTTTCATTGAGATTTAATATTCTAACTCACAGGCAAACTGATTTTACCAAGAAGAAATTGCAATGCTAATGGGTTTCCTGAAGGTGAACATGAATATGAATATTTTGGTCATTAAATGAATAAAAATTGTCCTGATTTGTACAATTGCTGCATATTTTTTAAACAAAAAAGCCCTTGAAATGCAGAGATTTTCTCAGGAAATTTTAGTCTTTTAAAGTATCATCCCAATTGAAATTTTTCATTTCTTTTTCAAAATTTTCCCAATCTTGAATAATAAAATGAAGGACTCTTTTGCTGTTTGATAACTGGTATTCTATGTTCAGGAACACCCTTTATATTGTGTATGTGTGTGGCAAAGTATTGCCAGTGCATTTGTCATTACAATAATTGCCTCATCATTATACAAAGTACACATGAATGCAACACATTTCTATACAGAATGAACCCAGCATTATAAAAACTTGCCTCCTTTCACATGCAGATTCTTGTCAAGTGTCAAAAAGAGAAGCACACACTGTGTCCTACTTTAGTTTAGTTTAGTTTATAGGGAGTGTCACTGAGGTAGAAACAGAGCTTTTTAATTAGATGCACATGATGCAAAAAAAAAAGAAGTGATGCAATAATGGACAGGATGTTGGCAACAAGAGAACATGGGCTGGTGGAACTTGTCAGCTTGCTGATGAGGCTTAGCATTTCCTGATGTGTCAACAACTGCCAGGACATATGCACTGAATAAATACAACTGGCTTTTCTCTCACAGCCCCCCCCCCCCTCCTTCTAAGTTATTCCTGTGGTGTGACATATACTCACAAAATATTTCTCACTTCTGCCAAGAAAATATGAGTACTAAAACAGGGAAAAGCAAACATCCCTGCAGGAAAATTCACAACTTACTAAAAAAAGAGGCACTTCTTGAAGGGAGATGAAAAGATTCTTTCATTCAAACTCAGGTAAAATTCTGTTACTGTATTTCAACGATTTTTTTCAAGGTTCTGGGCAAAAATGTTGAAACAATTTCTGTCATCACAAATTTTTATGATTCAGTAAAACAAATAAGCATTTATTGATTCAATTCAAGGTGACATTATATTTATTGGTTTTTAAAGAGTTTTGCTCAAACTTGTAACACACTTGAAAACAATTTTTGAGTAATCATTTTCATCAGCAATTCTTTCTCACAGATTAATTCCTAATATTTTGTTGCATCAACTTCTTTGGTTATTTTTAAAAGAAAATTTCTTTGCACATTATTTCTTCTTCAAGTCAGAAAATGAAGTTGAATCAAGCCACTGCATGTGAAACATTCCAGTATTTTGAATATTATAAAGATTCTGTGAATTGCTTGAAATAAAATTTAAATTACTTTTTAAAATGTCATCATTTAATGTGAAATTGAATGCTTCCACCTGGAGAAAATTGTGGATGAGGAAATTGATTGTATCACATTCTTAAAGAAAGAAACTCAAGAAATTGCCATCTCAATCATCCAGACAAAAATGTCCCAAAATGTTTAGCATTCAAGTGGTTTGACAAAAAAGCATCCAGAAATACTTCAAAACCATTAGAACTCGAATTATTTATTGTCCCACTTTTTGTTTAATAAAATAATAAATTTCAAGTTTTAAAAAACCTCTTGATTGTCAATTTCCAAATGCCCACCAGATGGGGAGAAAAAATTCCTCAAGAAAAATTGCATAAACTTTCCGTGCAACACAAAATTAACCTTATTAATACCTTGAAAAAGCAAATATAATACAATAATAAATGATCAGTGCATCTATCAGTTCAAATCAGGAGAAAAAATACAGTAGGATTATTCTGTTCTCAAGATCAATTGGCTCACCTGAGTTCAGGAGTTGATGCCATGGGCTCTACAACTGCTGCACTTTCTTTTGAAAAAGTCACACACCAGAAAATAAATACAGGTATTTGTAAACAAATAAATAAACACACTCTTCATGCAGAGAATTCATGAGCCACCATCACACTCCCAAGTCCAAGATGGGAATGAAATGCTTCCACAATGCATCCAACTGCTGCCAACTGCAACTCCAGTGAGTGACTTCACAATCACTTCTTCTTCTTCTCAGACCAAGGGCTAAAAGCAATTTCCATCCCAACTGTGACAGTAAATATTTTTCAAAAGGCTGGTTGCCAAGTATTTTTCTCAAATTCCAAATCCAGCACTGAAACAACAAAAAAATTAACAATAAAAATGTGAGGTTTGTGAAAGTCAAAGAATGGGGGAGGCATAACTTGAACTGACTCAATAGTTACCCAATAAGGGGCAACACATGGATGAATTAGAATTTCATGGGTCAAGAACAGGTTTGACAGGATCCCAGATGTTCTTACTGGTTCACAGCATCATCATCAGACATGTACATTGAGTTTTACAAACAATGGATGAATTTTATTGATTTTTTCCATCTTGAAACACAAAGGAAAAAATGTTGAGAAAATGCTGAAAACCTCATCAGATAGAGTGATTTCATCATGCATATAATTATTCCCATTAAAATAGAGGAAGCAGACTTTATACATTGAGGATGATTTTTGTATCATTCAGGAAGTTTGAAATTGTTATAAAACAGAACAATCTAACTAAACAGTAAACAGTTCATTGTGCAACATGATTGCTGGTGCTTGATTGTCAAAACTTCTTGAAGAGTAATGAAATGAATTATTTTCTTTTGCAATTTCTATGTACATGAATGCCAATCATAAAATACAAAAACTAGCTTTGAAAATGCACAACTTGTCAGAAAATTTTCACACAGAACATTTTCTTACAATACACTAACTTGCATTCCATTATTCAAACCAAACTTGAACTTGTACCATCAAATATTGTAGTTAGATTATTCAATATTATTAAACAGATAGAAAATTAAAACCTCCAGTGCAAGAATAATATTTCATGTATAAAAATAAAAAGCTTAGCAAATGTCACTTGCTGTTCTCAATTGCTTTAAAGGCTTCCAACATTAAGTTTCATTTATCAAAAACCCATGGCCATGACACAGCAAATTATTGGTTCATAACAGTTCAAATAGAAAAAGAGATTATTGTACGTAAAATATTCCATCAGACAATACACTCTGCATTTTTAATTCAATTATTACAAAATAACCATAAGAAAATAAACAAAAATTCTTTTTTATGACAATAAGTTATATTTACATTCACACATTTTGTAACATTTCATTTTGACCATCCCTCATCAAACAAATGACATAAAAAATAGTTGAGAAAAAAGTTTTGTTGTAACAAGAACACATACCTGCTTGCTACAGTGCTGACTTCAGTGTTGCCAACACCAAGAATGCTGGCCATCACGTTGACATCATTGTCCCAGCATTCAGAGAGGTGAAGTAATGCAACAATAACATCACGTGGTTCTTTTGTATTGAAGATGCCACACAAACACACACACACGTGACTGGATGGACTTCTGCTGCGCTGGAAAGAGAAGCACATTAAGAATGGAGGACCAATGCTTGCATAATGCTGCCCCCTATTATCCAATGAGTAAAGAAACCCAGCAGAACCCATAAGACCCTTGCTTCTTATTTGCTGCTGCTGGGTCTCATTTGCTGAAGGTCAGGTATTAGTGTGGCCCACATTCATGTTTCTTGTGGAAGATGGAATTATATGAACAGTGGTGGGAGAAGTGAACAACAAAATTTTTGATTTCAGGACCAGGACTCAATTCTGTCTCTACAGAAAGGAGGTCAGGCATTTTAGTAAAACCTGATAAAAAATAAAAATTGTAGCATAAAAAGTTTTACAGTATTATAAGAATTTTTCCTCAAGCCCCAGCAGAACACCAATGGAATGATACATTACTTGTTAAAACAATCTCATTATACTGTACCAAACTTCCCAATTCCAGGACAAATAACTTTATTTTTTAAGAAATGCTCAGCTATTTTTACTGGTAGACATTTTCTGGTTAGAACAATAAGCGCCATCTGGAATCTTTTTCAGATCACTGAGTTTTTCAAACAATAATAAATATTTTGAGAATGCCAGAACAATGAGATATCAGTGATTATTGGCAGATCTGGATGGTGTGAAAATTGTTTCCAGTTTCTAATTTTGAAAATCTGGTTTTAATCAATCATTCAGTACCACAAACTTTTTCCAAAGTCCCCAAAAGTTTGTTATTGTAGCATAATTTTATTGTAGTTCATGCCTAATTTTGAGGAAAGCAACAATACTGATTTTTCTATCACTTCCTAACATCTGGGACATTTAGTGAGAGAAGCAAAAACAATATCCCCATGTTCACACTTTTCCCCATGTGTTCTTCAATTTTTCACACCCTTGAAAATCACTAGCCAACCATCAAAGAAATTTAAACTTCCTAACATCTGGGACATTTAGTGAGAGAAGCAAAAACAATATCCCCATGTTCACACTTTTCCCCATGTGTTCTTCAATTTTTCACACCCTTGAAAATCACTAGCCAACCATCAAAGAAATTTAATAAATTATTGTAACTCTCACATATTAGCCAAAAGAACTCTTGAAGACCATAACTGTTGCACAGGACATTGAAATCAAGCAAGATTATTGTGTCCCAGATGCAACAGGTGGGAAAAGAAAACTAGGAGTCAAAGATTATTCAGTAACATATGTTGCATTGAATATTTACCAAGTGCTCTAGAACTGTGTGCAGTTGTTCCCTGTCATGCTGACATACACAGTAATTACTTCTCAAAGGTACCCAGTAGATCAGGACATCCAGCACTTCTAAGATCACATGTCCCCATGAACTTCAAAAGAAAAACTACATGTTGATCACTTTTCATGTTTCTTTGGCAAACATTCATTGGAATAAGACCACAAAAGATGCATTGGCGAAAGAGTTAAAGGTCTTCGTCTATAATCGACACCTCTTATACGGAAGAACCGTACCTTTCCTCAGTTTTTCCGTGTGTTTTTTTTTGTAAGAAGACTTCTTCATATTTTTTTTCGGTTGTAAAACCTTTTTAATTAAAAACCACACAGAATACACCATCTTTGCTAATTTCGTTCAGTTTTTTAGTTCGTGTGTAAAACGAGATGACAGGACAAATGGTAAGTGTCAAATTCCTTTATTAGGATGTTCTGTTCGTTTTGTAGGTAAAAACTGTTATACCTCGTTTGAACGTTGATTAATTCTGACTCAATTTATGTTCTGAGCATTTGAAAAACACATACAGTCAAACTACTCTAAATTATATTTCAAGGGACCAGCAAAAAAAATTGACTTGGAGAGGTTTTGAATTACAGAGGTTTGAGCTACAATACAAGGCCATTCTGTTCTGGGAAACTCAGAAAAATTGTAAATGCTGATATCCTGGGCATAAATGACTTCTTAAATGAGTTACAATGATGCAAGGGTTCATTTGCCCATTTCAGTCTTTCACTTCTTTGTAAAACACAGCAATATCAGTTTTTATTGCTTTTTTTCTTTCTTGTGTCAAAAAATGATGACAAACAGGCCACAGAGAATTTGAATCATGGAGGTTTGAAGGGAAAAGCCTTTGACTTTGGAAGGTTTTAAATGTATTGTTCATAAGGGGATTCAGATGGGCCCCTTAAAAATATGACTCAGAGGGGTTTGAATTATCACATGTAACAAGTTGAAAATAAAATGCTATTTTGTTCAAAGTGCCCAAGTCCTGAGACATTCTCCCACACATTGGGATATACAGCACTGCTCTTCTTTGAAGTGTCCAAATCATCAGCATGTCAAGGCCTGCATATGTTGATGCCACACTGCACAAACTATCCATCAAGAAACATTTCCATCATGAAATCCAAACACAAAATTCTTGTACAAAATTTTCGCACAGAATACACTAGATTCAAATTTTTGACAATCCAGCCACACTTACATAAAAGGGACATTAATTGAGGCTGTTGAAGGAAAAGCTTCCACTTGAAAATGATTGATTTGAAAGAATAAACAACAGGACTTTTCACGCTCAAGAAATTACACAACAGATGACAAGTGCATGAATAAATGATGATCAATGTTTCTTCTTTTGGTGGGAGAGCTTCTTCAATTCTTTTTGTTATGTTGCCCAGAACTCTTCTTCAATTTCAACTATGGGCATTCCAAGAAACAAGAATACAGCAATTGAAAAGTGCATTGGTTATTTCCTGGCCTCTTTCTAAAATCTCAACAAATGAGAAATTGTGGTGATTTCCCCAACAAGTGCTGTTCACTTGTCCCATCCATGAAGGAGAAAATATTTTTCCTGGATGCAGTATAGAATTTAAGTACAGTATGAGACCTGGAAGAAAAGGAATTTGAAAGTGAAATTAAATGGAAAGAAAACAAAACACCACTGAAGAAATCATGACGCATTTCTTCCTCCTGAATGCTGGTGGGCACACCCTCAACAGCAAATGCATTCAAAAATCCCCTTCCTGCAACTAAAAAAAAAAAAAACCACAATTCCAGCTCTGTTTCCACCCCCTCCCACAACATCTGCCTGAGACAACAAAGAAAAACAACCATGATGAACAATCTTCGGGAGGAGCAAAAAAAAAAAAGCATGTCTTTTGAGATAGATTCCTTTCCTCTTTCCTCCCCATCAAAACAAGAGACAGAAGAGCAAAACACAGACCCTTGAACAAACAAATGCCCTACAGTTTACACACAATTTGCAAGTGGCAAAACACTTGCACATTGAAAAATACTGGCAACCAGGTAACTCAAGTTCCCTTCAAACTCAGATCTATAGTGGCTCACAGTGGAGCTGCCAAATTTGTTGTCTTATTTTTCGTCTTTCCACACATACACACACTCGCATCTTTGCAACACATAAACCTTTAGCAACACAAGATCCTGGCAATACTCTCTTCCTCCTCACCTCATCTGCCTTCCTTTTTTTTCTCTTTCTTCAAATTTTGTTTTTGATAATCCCCCCCAACCCCCTTGGATTCAAGATCAGTTTGTGGCTGTGGCAAAAAAAGGGAGCTTTTCATCAGTTTCTGCAGGAAGACTCTCTTTGTTGGCTATGAATAAACTATATAACTAGATTTTTTTCTTTCTTGTCTGGAGTAGATATTCACTACCCGGATGGCAACACTTCGCCCTCTTTTTTTTTGCAACACACCTGAACCTGTCAAAAATTTGCGAACCACGATCTTCCTGTCCAAGAATCCAAGGGTAAAAGCAACAAAAAAATAGCAACTCTTTTGAGCGACATCTTTGCCTGTGTCATTTTTTTTTTCATTCCCCATTTTTCTTTCTTCTTCTTCAACAACCACACTGAGGAGGAACAAGCAACCAGCTGCACGATTCCCGTTGGCAAGCCTTTATCTTTGTTTGTAGCTCAGTTTTTTGCACGCAATCTTTGGATTGAGCAGCACACAAGGAAGACTCAAGAGTCTACGCATTCATTCAATTCCAACTCAAAAAAAGTTATCTGCCCTTCTTTTAAAAATCCGCGAGAAAAACAAGAGGAAGAACCCACGTGGAAATGTGCAGATGATTGTTATGCTCCACGTTAAACGTCCACATTTACTTCTCTTTTTTTGCTAAAAAGATTCTCTTTCAGGCAGAAACAAAAACAACTTCCCTGTTGTCGTTGGCAACACAAAGTGAGCAACTATGTTCTTCCCTCTTCTTCGTTATATAGCAGAAAACTGAAAGAAACCAGCCAGCAGAGACAAGAAGCGACACCTCTCGTCCATTCCCCGTTCCTAGTCGAACAACTTGTGCTCGTGTCTCTCGCCAGGTGTCATTCTCTGTGTCTCAAACACTGATCTCATTTTCCTTGAGCGGCACTTTCGCCCTGCCAGTAGAAGTGAGCACGTAGCAGTCAGTGGAGTTGTTGGGGGTGGTGGTGGTGTTGTTGGTGCCACTGAGCAAAGGTGGTGGTGGTGGTGAAGTGGTTGTGAATCGTACAGCACCAGTGGAGACGACGTTTGATCGGGGCAAGTTGGCCGGGTCCAGGGCCACTGCCGACAAGTTGCTGGGTTGTTTGCTGCTGCTATTGTTGTTGTTGTTGACGTTATTGACGTTATTGGTGTTGTGGGTCAGAATGGGTTTGGCCACGACTTCAGAGTAATCTTTGCGCTTCGGGGTGGACTTGGCAGAGGATTTCCAGTCTGCTGGCGAGTCGCTGCTGCTGCCACCTGGTTCTCCTCCCGGTATATCGAATCCCTGCAACACCAATAGAAAAAGGGAATTTTTATTTTTTCAAGTCCTGGTCTGAATTCCTTCAGGAACAATGCTCATAAAACATGAATAACTTCAAACCTTCATGACTAGAATTTCCTGGATGCCATTTTGGATATTATAATTGATACAGGAAAAAGAAAAGCAATGAAGATAGTAACTTGATGTGTTCTGAAAGGAAGTCAAGGACAAATTGTGCAAATGAACCCTTGCCTCCAAGTTCAGCATCCTGTCAACTCATTTAAGAAGCAATTCAAGACCCAGGATAGCAACAATTGCAATATCTTGTAATTCTTTCTTTTCCTAAAAAAAAATGCTTGTTTCATCAACTAATTTTTGTGCTTGTCCCCACATTAAAGTTTGACTGCATTTTACAACCACATTCCATGCATTTTCTTCACAATTATATTTTATATCTTCAAATCAAATTGTATGAGGGGAAGAATGCTTAATGATAATCATGGAAAGGAATAATCAAGGACATGCAAATCCATGAGATGGTAAGAAGTGCTCCTTGACATTTAGCAGCAACATATTTCCTTTTAAAATGAATGCAAAATATTATTAAATTATCTTTACAATGAATACCATTACAAAAAATGTTTCAGTTTAACAAACTTTCTCTCAAGACCTAACAAAAAGCCTTTACAGTACATGGTAAAACAATCTTCTCATAAATAACTTCCCAATTCCAGAATAACCATCTTTTTTCAAGAAACGATTCTCCAGGTAAAAATTTCCCAAGACAGACACAGACTGAAATTTCTGATCCCAAATGTGACCAACTGGTTCTGTAAGATAGATGGAAGCTTTGATCAATGACAAAAACGCTTCCAAGTGGTTAAAAACAACATCCTCCCAGAATAAAGAGAATTTTGCAATTAATGAAATGCATGATGGAAGCTAAAATATTTTCGAATGATTACTCAGTTTTTCAAACAATAATGAAAAATAATAATCTGACAAGGACAGAAAAGCAGGATCTAATGAATTATTGGCAGGTCTGATGCAAAAATGTTTCCCAGACATAAATTTTTAAAATCTCTCTCCACACCAAAACTCAAGGAATCAGAAACCATGTTTGTTGTAGAGAGAATTTTGTTGCAGAGAACCCCTATGACACGAGGAAAGGACCCTATGGGACCAAAATAACATACATTATACAGAGAAAATCATTGTAGACAAAATTGTTGTAGAGAGAGTCCACCTTTACAAAAATGTTCCAATACAGTCAAACTTTCCCTGGAGCCCCCAGAAACTTTGTTGTAACGTGATTTCACTGTACTGTATTACGCCTACTGCAGAACACCTTTGCCTCACAACCTTTTTCTTTTCCTTTTCAAACACATCTCAACAAAATGCGGAGAAAAAATTATTCAACGCCACGCAACCTCGCAACTCGCAGTTCCCAGCAGTGGTTGACTCGAATCACTCTCCCGCAGCAAACTCGCACCAACACCTCCGCCACTTGCACCACCGCCACCAGCTCCTCCTCCTCCTCCGCCGCCACCAATAGCATTATCCTCCACCAGCCGTCCACGACTATGACTCCTGTTCCTCCGTCGCTCGCCCCTGTCCTTTTTGGAATGGGCCCGCTGGGACCTGGCCTGTCGCTTGTGCTTGTCTTCCGGGCCGCCGTTGCCGACGGCGGTCATTAGTCCGCCTCGCGACGACGATGACGGGCCAGCACCGCCGCCGCCAACTGTCCTTCTGTTTTGGTACGCCTCGGCCAATAGTCGCTCCGTCGACGCCGTTTCGTGCATGTTGTAGGGCACCGACTGCTGCCTGCTCATTTCTCCGTCTCCGAACACGGCTCGTTCTTGTTCCGCTCTCGACGCTGGAAGTCAATGAATCAGTCAATCAATCAATCAATAACATAAAAAGCAACAAAATCAACGTCAAAACAAAAATCTACATTTTTTGCAGCTATTTAGATTTTCTTGCAAGAAAAATCCGAAGCATCAATTGGCCAGTTCAGTTGTTTGAAATTTTTTTTTTACGAGAGGCATTTAATTGAATAATTACCAGGTTCAACTTTCAGTATTTCTACATTTTAACTTTTGATCAATTCATTAATAGTAAGTATTCCTTCAGAGCAATTTTCGTTTAACGGGCTTGAATTTGAATTACCAAGAGGACAGACAAGCAGAAATTGAAAACTCAAACATTTCCTAAAACCATTGACTTATTCTATTGTTCATCCTTTATTCAAATTGAAGGCTTTGATTTGAATTATAGGTGGACTCTCTCTCTACAACGAAATTTTCTGTAAAACGAATTTTTCTTGTTGGTACCAAAGAGTTCTCTTCTCACGTTATGGGGGGATGGGGGTTTCTACAATGAAATTCTCTATGCAAAACATTTTTTCCCTTGAATTTTTGTTGTAGAGAGAGTGGACTTGTATCAGGAAGAACAAGTTCTGATTCAAACAGCAAAATCCCCTGAATTCATTGACTTCTATTTTGTCCATGGTTTTATTTACTAAAATTGAGCAGTTTTGAGTGTTGGATTTCTATTACCAGGACATACTAGTTAAAATTGAACACTGATTTCATTTATATCAATTTTTCCATTTACTCAAATTGGGGGGTTTTGAGTGTTGTATTTCCATTACCAGGATATTAAAGTTTAAATTAAAACCGGGGAAAACCCAAATCAGAGCATTTATTTACATTGTATTCTTTCTTTTTAATATTTCTTGAGGAGTTTTTGAGTACTGATTTGGCATAGTTCAAAATTCAACACTCAAAGACCCCTGAAGCCATTTTCTTTCTTCATTTATTAACATTGAAGGGATTCTGACCATTAAAATACAATTTGAATCATCAGAACGTACTAGTCAAACTTCAACACTCAATTTCAAGAAAATTGAACAAAACAAAAAATATAGGTCAATGATTTGAGGGGTATTTTTCTGCGTTGAATTTAAATAATCACCTAATACAAGTTTAGTTTAAAAACTTGAAAGCATCCACTCCCTTTTTTATCCCATTTATTCAAATTGAAGATATTGCGAGCGTTAAATTGAATC